GAACAAAACTATAAAAATTGATATTCACTTTACTGTTATATTAACTGTAACTTTAATTATTGTCATAAATATTAATTTCATAATAATAATTATTATTTAAAAATTATTGCAACAAATATTACCTCAAATTATTATTTAATAAAATGCCCAAAAAGTCATTGAAAGCGCTATTCATTCCGGTGGACGGTATCGGACACGTGAACGCATGCATTGGTATCGCTGAACAGCTAATAACGGCCGGACATCGAGTGTCGTTCCTCATAAATACATAATGGGAGGGCAAACTCAAACACTACGGTATCGACAAAATACTATACCCGCCACTACAGGGACGTCAAGACGGTAGCAACGCGGCGCTCGACGGGGCAAATATGTTGCGAAGTTGTGGTATTATTAGTTCAGCCGGGCCACTTGACACCATGGTGGCCTGGGTGACCAAGTTGGTCCCACACTGCATACGGGATTCACGGCTGATGGACACGATTGTTGATAAGGCTATCGCCGATTTACAGCCCGATGTAATATTTATTGATCAGGTGGTGGCCATGGCTTCAGTGGAGCGTTCGGGTATACCCTGGGTATGGGTTTCCAGTTATAATCCAGTTTCAGTTGTACGACGAACGCACACCTCCTCCCGGCTTAGGTTAGCAACAATTTTGTTAGAATTTATTTTATTTTATTAATTTTTAAATCAGTTAACTAAAATATTTATAAGCAGATAAATAGTTGAAAATTATTAATTTATAATTTAAATTTTTATATTTGTATTATAAAATTATATAAAGTGTTTACATATATAGTAGTATTATGTATATTGTACGTTTATATTTATAACTTAAACTTATTATTTATATCATAGGTTTAGCAGCAAATGGTGACCTTAAAGAGTGGGCGCACCATGGTGGCATGGGTCACCAAGTTGGTGCCGCATTGCATACGCGATTCCCGGCTTATGGACCCAATTGTTGATAAGGTTACGCCGATTTACAGCCCGATGTAATATTTATTGATGAGGTGGTGGCCATTGCCTTATAGGAGCGCTCGGGTATGGGTTCCCAGTTATAACCTACTGTTTCAGTTGTACGACGAGCGCACACCACCTCCCGGCTCATGTAGGCAACAATTTTGTTATGATTTATTTTATCTTATTGTATATATTTTTAAATATTTAAACAGTAAAGTATTAAGTAAAATGTTTTAAGTAAATTTTTAAAAGTTTAGTGTAAAATAATTATAAGTAGATAAATAGTTGAAAATTAATAGTTAATAATAATTATAATACTTAGTTGTGTATATTTTTATATTTGTATACTGTATGTCTATATTTATAAACTAAAATTACATTCAATACAATTCATACCATAGGTTTAGCAGCGAATGGTGACCGCAAAGAGTGGGCGCACTTCAGGCACACCTAGGGTGACCACCTCAAGTTTTAGGAAAAGAGGATTTTTGACTAAATTTACAGTAATTATAGAGGACAAATAAAGGACACGTATTTTAGTCTTGAGTTTAAATTAAAAATTCTATCAAAATCAATAATATGTATTAAATACATGTCCTCTATTGTAATAAGGCATCATTCTATTATCAAACAAACAATTGTGTATTTTACTAATAAATCGTAAATTTGTATAACATTTCAGTAAATTTTATAGAAATACAACAATTTATTGGAAAATTCATTCAATTGTCCTCTATTACCCCTTCAAAGGACAGAGGACAAGAGTCCGAATAGAGGACAGGTGGTCACCCTAGGCACACCGTAAACGATGCCATTAAAGACATTTGGCATGAGTTTAATGACTATTGAGCAATGGTTTACCACCACTTGATTACGGCCAGTATGTGCGCCAACCAACACATCTACACATATATCCAGTGCCCGTTGAACTGGACTACACAGACCTGAGACCAGTGCCCGACCGTTGCCTACAGTTGGACAACTTGATGCGTAAAGATGTGCATGCTACTTTTACTTCACCTGAACAACTAACGAATAAACCAGGCAAACTGATCTATGTTGGTTTAGGCTCACTTGTATTATCGGATTTGGAAAATACCAAGCGCTTAATGGCATTACTGTCCAAATCAAAGCATCGGTTTATTGTGTCAAAGGGTCCGCATCATGATAAGTACGAGTTGCCGGGTGCTAAAATGTGGGGCGAGCGGTATGTGCCTCAGATACAGGTGTTGCCAATAGTGGATCTGGTAGTAACACATGGTGGTAATAATACGGTTACCGAGACGTTATATTACGGTAAGCCTATGGTTGTGCTGCCGGTGTTTGCCGACCAGTTTGATAACGCACAGAGACTGCATGAGTTGGGCTATGGTTTACGACTGGACACATACAAGTGCTCTGAGGCCGAGCTGTTGGGTGCTATCGATAAGCTTCTGGACGATAATGAGTTGAACGCAAAGTTGGCTAAAATAGCCACAAGAATACAGTCCAATGATAAAATTTCTCAAGTACCAAGGTTGATTGAAAGGTTATGCAGCGGGCATACAAAAGGGGCGTAAATAAATTTATTATAAATAAAAATTTTAATTGAAATTAATAAAAATGAAAACTGTTACTTATTAGAAAAAAATACATTTAATAAACTTATTTTATACTTATAAATAATTTTAAAATAAAGTTTTTCTGAAAAGTATTGTTAATGTTGTAAATGTATAGTAAGCCCTACACCCAAACCCCCCGGACTCCCAGTCCATACACCCATACCAGATGGCCTGTACGCCCAGCCCTGACTCCCTTACCATAGCCTTACACCCATACCCAATGGCAAAACCATATCCACCCAACCCTTTCCACCCAAACCTTTACACCCATACCCAGTGGCAAAACCATATCCACCCAACCCTATCCACCCAAACCCAGATGGCCTGTACGCCCAGCCCTGACTCACATACCATAGCCTTATACCCATACCCAGTGTCAAAACAATACCAAGAATAGGGCCACTAATTGCCGGCACATTCTCTCATTTCAAACATGAGTGAAAGCACTTTCACTCGAAATACAATCACTGGTAACCTAAATACCAAACTCCATGTCCCCACACAAACACTACCGACAGATACCATAAATGTACACACAATACACAATACATAGAGAGCCCAGAATAGTGGACTCCAATGTAGGTCGCATTGACCCCAACCGTACATCCAATAGACTATTTAAGTCAATACAAACCCCAATTCCATATGCATTATCTATCTTCCTTACAGCCATGTAAACCACTCAACACACATGCCGTGTGTCTCACACACTCCGTGTGAATGTCAACCACTTAATTGTTATCCCATATAAAATAAATTGTATCATTTAAACTGTTTTTATAAATGCCTTTTTAATAAAATCAAGTTATTTATGCCATACAAACCACTCGACTGCAACTCATTTCATCATCTAATCACTAAATCCAGTGAACAATTAAAAGTTAAGTTAGTTTAGTGTCAACTAAATCCCAAACAACTTACAAGTCGGCAGCGATTATGCTCTGCCAGATCCCAGCCATAACCACATCCACCACTTCAGCCACCATCGACTGCACACCTCAACTCAACCCGAGTACCACTCGGCCAACAGCGCCCAAACCCAATGGTGAAGCCCACACCACAATCACAGCCACCAATGCATCAAAATTAACAATAAGTGACAAACATTTTGTGCCAACACTTACGCCGTGTTCAGCACATCAAACCCCTTCAACTCATCCCGAAGACCATTCGGACACCACTTCAGCACTCGAGGACCACTCGGAAAGCACATCTCATCCCAAGGACCACTTGGACGCCACAACCCCTCATCACCTCATCTGCACCACACACGCGATGGGACGCAAACCTCACCTCAACCGCAGCACAGCTCAGGACCCCTCATCGGCATCGATGACCACCAAAGCGGACGACACCTCCGACACTAAGACGATCAGCTCTTCATCGCCGAAGACATCGCACAGTAAGCCTCAAAATTACATAGAGTTTTACACAAGTGTAAAAAGACCTCAAAATAAGCATTTAATTGTTTCCCAATTCCATTGTACACCAATCACTCCTAATAGTGATGGTAAGCCTACGGGCACTAAAGGCCACCCTATGGCCAAACCTATACCTCCGACGCCTTGTCGTATATGTGAGGGTCTCGGCTTCAATGACCGCTTCAAATGGTCTAATATTTGCTCAAATATAGCTAAACCCACACTCAATGGTAACCTAAGTGTTATGCCTTTTAACACAACTCAAACCCCAAACCCCTCTCAATCATTGCCTGAGCACTACATCTCAGACATTGAACAAAACTAAGCTCAAGACTTAAACAATTACCACTGATTATTATGTTAGCGCCCGCTAATGGTAGTGTAGTTAATGCCCTCTTGAATACTTGATCACTATTTAAGTAATTAATTATAAAATCATTTCAAATTATTGAAACCTCCAATAATCAGTAAATTAAACGCTTGTTTAAAAGTAACCACAATTGCAAATCCATGCAATTGTTTAGGTCTTGCCTTAGTTCCTCTCAACATAGGCATAATTCTCAAAAAATGCGATTTATATGCCATTCATAACTAAAACTACGGTTTACTAATAGGATTAGCTTTAATCCAAAATTCAAACTTTAATTGAATAAAACTTTTTTTGTTTTTCAATTACTCGTTCAAAATAATGCCCATTAATGCGAGGAAAATCTCACAAATTATCTACAAGTAGATCCCCATTAACCTCTTAGCCTACCGGTGCTCACCGGCGGATCAAACAATTGATCCAAGAAATACCACATATTAATGATAGTGCCTACCGGTGCTCACCGGGCTATCATAACAAAATAACCCATATGCTCAAAAACTATCGGTGCTCACCGACCTAAACAAACCCATATAACCTAATAAGCCTTAGGACCTACCGGTGCTCACCGGCCAACAAAACATGATCCAAACTAAGTTTATCCCTAATGCCCACAAACTATTAGCGCCTCTCAAACCACTCCTAAATGATCCTCAAATCAAATGGAGTAAGGAATGCGATATGCCTTCCATTCATGCCAAACATACCTCTTGTTTAAACCCGTGCTTTAAGTCCGTAACCCAACCAAAGAGTGCTCACTCTATACCACTGCCTCCATAATAGATACCCACACTGTCCCGAAACAGGTCCAGTCACATAGCAAAGCACATCCCCATAGCATTCTATAATATAGGATAAGTAAACAATTAAATACACCAAACCTTGTACTCCCTGTACACCAACTCTCAGTCCAGCCTCCGGACATCCCATAGCTTACAATAATAAGTCTATTGCAATCAAACCCTCAACTATGCAATTAGTTCCCTCACATCCCAACCAAAGAGTGCTCACTCTATACCAATGCCTTCAAAATAGGTACCCGTACTGTCCCGACACATGTCCAGTACGACGACAAATCACATCCCATAGCCTACAATAATAAGCCTATTGTAAATCAAATCCTCGACTATGCAATTAGTCAATTAAGGCTCAGTCAATATTATTTTGACATAAGTAAACTCGAGTACTTCAAAGTTACGTAAAACTGATGCCTAATCCCCCCAAAGCTAGCTAAACAATTAGACTTTCAGTCCAAACCTTGTACTCCCTGTACACACACTCCCAGTCCAGCCTCCGGACATCCTCTGCCTAAACTCCCAAAAAGGAAAGTGACCAGAATTATGGTCAATA